TGCGATAATACTTAGGAACACTCATGATCCATATAAGAGTTATTACTTATATGGCAAATCCACAAGGAAAAGTTGTGCATCTAGTCAGATTCTGCACCTTCAGACATTTCTGAAAATCTTATGTAAGCTCAGTGCTTATTGCTCAAAAAGCCTGATTTGCAATCTTGAACTATTACAAACATGCCAAATATCCACAGCAACACATCCCATTCTGGGATACGAGTAACTACAGCAATAACAGCACCGGGAAGCATGCAGTTCCTACCAGCTATTGGAGTCATGGTTAGGAGCTAACTGGAACTCTGGCACTGCACTCATGCATTTCTGAGCACAGATACACAAAGTCATACCAGAAGAACAGCAAAGGTGCAAATTTACCTCCAAAGATGCAAGAGTCATGAAAAGCCTCCTGCATTTCCTTTGTTTCAGTGAACTTCTTCCCATTCTCTTCCTGGTGGGATTGAGGTTCCTCAGCATGCTGTGGTGGCAAAGTGTCTTTGGAGGCAACAGGCACGATTTTCAGGGGCTCATTAGAAGCAGGTCTCTGAAGTTCTCCTGAGGATGTTTGTACTGCTGTGGAGCTGCCACCTTGCTGTCCTGCATCACACAGCTTGGACATGGGCACCCTCATTGGTATCCCTGTAGCCCTGGTGAGAAGGAATAACAGCAATGGAGCATGTTCCATGTATATGACAGCCCCAGAATCCAGCAGAGTAACTACAGCTTTCACCTCCATAAAGTTGACAAAATATATTTCTGAAGAACATACACTGCCCAAGCAGGACAGATTTCCCACTTTTGGGCAAGCACAACACATAAGGAGATCACACTGCTGTGGACACAGAAGTAGGAGAAAAATACACTGAGGGAACAAGGAAGTAAAGGCCTTTCAGCACACAGGTTGTGACCACACATTCACCTTGCTGTGGAACACCAACGCAGCTGCCTGGTGTTACGCGTGTGGGCAACCCCAAGGACTCCCCTGTGCTCTGAAGGGAGACTAAACAGAGGAGAAACAGAACTTCAGATACATTTTAAGAGACCCTGCTCTGATCATTTTTCCAGAATACAGGTTTACATCATACAAGCAGGTGACTATTAAGCATATATATGTAACAAACAAAGTGGCCAGCTATGGCATTCACTCATTCAAGGAAATCTTGCAGTGCTCACCAGCTACAGGGGGAAAACTACCCAAAAGTAATGCACTCCCAAATAAAAAAGGCAGAAGGACCACCTTTTGCACAGACTTGGCATTAGGACAAACAAGACAAGGAGTGGCAGCAGAAAGACACAGAGTAAAGGAAAACATCAAGCAGTGGAGGTTCAGAGAAGATATCTCACATAAAACTGGCAACTGGGCACACACATAAAACACAAGAAGTTTAGCATCTAGAAATTCAGGACAAGCTTGCTGATATCATTTTAAGGCCCACCTCAGAAGATGACCATCTGCAATATCATCAGCCCAGCAATCTTCAGTCATGCTGCTCTTCTGGCCGCTGGACAAGGATGCAGAATTTGTATGAAACTGGAAAGAAGAGAAATAGAAGAATGAGTTAAAGTTGTTACAATCCTTAGTGCAGCCTCATGCACAGAAACAGCAGAAGCTCAGTTTCACTCTGGAAAGAATGTAAAATGCTGCCAGTGACCCACTCCCATTTAAAATTGCATAAATTTTGAAATAAAAAATTATGAAATAACTAGATTCTGTCTCCACAAGATTAAGGATGAAGTTAAACTAGTTCAGATAATATGAGACTAGGAAGCAGGAGTATTTTCCCCATCCACCCATGAGACAGGAAAATGTCCTATTCCCTATCCCAAGTTGCCATGGCAAAACTTTAAAAAATAAATTGAAAAGAAGTCATAACGTGTCAGAGCAGAAGAGCCTACTGACCAATACAGCCAACGACCTAGAGGAAAGCAGTTTAAAATTGTAGCCCTTCCAACAGAATAAATTACTGCAGAAATCCTTAACATCAAGCTAAAAACAAGGATGCAGCCAGCATAATTCAAGCAAGCAAATAAAAACAGCTTAAGCATCCAACACTGCAGTGAGCAGGCAGCACAAAGCAAAAGACAGAGACAAACAAAGCCCCCTTCCCAGAGCAGTGTGCTCATGTTTCCCATGGTTTACCTCAGACAGCCGGGCCGTCTTAACTGCAGCCAGAAGATTTTCAAATTCTTTCAAGATATGATTCTGTTGAGGTAATAAAAGAGAGAGAAATCATACAGACATTAAATTAAAACATCTGTTCCAACAAGGATATTGGTAGCTAGAGCAAGGAACTGGGGAGAACACAGCTTGCAAAAAAAAAAAAAAAAAAAAAAAAAAAAAAAAAAAGCAAATGAATGGTGACCTTTTTCATATGCTGAGAATTTGGACAATCAGCAACAGGTCACTCCTCCCAAGGTTGAGATGCTAGTGCTGCATGCCTTGCCTACCACACCTCCCCATGCCAGTCACGTTGCTAGTGCCATACCTGGAAGGAGAGCCTGTGCCGCAGCACAGCGTTCTGGAAGTGGCACTGCTCCACCTCCTTCTGTAACATGGTCTTCTCCCGGGTGAGCCGCTGTGCATTGGCTTTCTCTGCATTGAGGGCCAGAGCCAATGCTTTATTGTTGTGCTTCAGGGAGACTTTAATAGTAGAAGAGTTGTCTGTAAGAGATAGAGAGATATCACACAGAATCAGCATCCAAGGTTTCATCCATGCCTCTTCCCTCACCATACTTCTTCCTCTTTCCAGAATAATTTTCCTTAGATTTGGATCTCTACAGCTCAACAGCCCACACACAAAACCAGCAGTATAATTCCTTCCAGCAACAGAAGTCTCCAGAGAAGAGAAGGGACAAAATTTCCATAACCTGCAACACTTCAGACACCCTCTTCATCCTCAGTTGGTCATGCTCAGGTAGCAAGCTACTGCTTCAATTCTTAATGCATGATAGCATGGTTCAAGTGCTGAGTTTGAAAAGATATGCTTCTGGCTTTGAATATGCCACCTGAGTCCTCATCTCTATCCAAAAAGTGGGAGAAAAACCTATTTTCCTCTAGTTGTCCTTGAGCAGATTTAGAGCCATGTTTCCCAATCTCAAAACAATTAAATAAGAGTAATAGAAATATCTAATTTTTTCAAGGTAGTCCAAATTATCTCATGTGCTATCTTTGCATTATTTCCCCCATAAAAACAAGTCACAGTTGGGCTAGCTTCTGCACAGGATTCCATATACACTAAAATACTTTCCACACCTCTTGTATTTGCTACTTGGACCCTGAGGACTCAGTTTCCCAAACACAGATGTCTGATGTCATCTGAGATGCCGCTGAGCAGCCTTTGACGCCCCAAGCTGCTGTTCCAGAGGTTCTGTGTTAAACCTGCCAGTCACAGATACTTCAGACACCCCTGGACACCTTGAGTGACACTTAACACTCATTTGCAGGTCACTGAATTCACTAGAAACCCCTCGGGCAGAGAAGCTGCCAAGACTGCCGCCCACCGCCACGGCCAAAGGCACAGTTCCAAGCTGATGTAGCTGCCAGCCTCTGCACGCGCTGCAACGCAAAATACACTCACTAATGATTTTCGTTTTGATTTTGGATACAAGCGAGGCATTCAACTTCGCAGTCTTCAAGGCACCCTTTTTCTTCTCCCGCATCCTCTCTCTTACGCCGCTCAGGCTGAAGAAGGACGTGTCGGCGGCCTTCAAAGACGCCATCGCTGCAGAGAGTGACACCGAGCAGGGTTAGCACCCGTATTCCCCGCCAGCAAGTCCTTGGCGGCCAAGACTCGTACTACCCCCGAGCAGCGGCCCCGCGGCCCCTCATGGCCCGAGCAGCTCTGGGCACAGCCCCGCCGCCCCCCGCACAGATCCCCGGCTCACCTGCGGACGGGGCCGGAGGGGAGGGCGCAAGAAGGAAGAGGAAGCCCTGCCTGCCAAGCGACTTTTGAAAGCGAGCGGGCCGGCGGGCAGCCCGCCCCTCGCCCCGCCCCGCGAGGTGGCGGCGGGAGGGGCGTCCTCGGCCGGCCGAGGCTGCTCTGTTCGCCCTCACGGCGAAGGCGGACCCCGAAACGCGCCTTCCCGGCCGCTGCCCTTCGGGCTGGAAGCCCCGAACCTTGAGGCGCTGCTACCGCCGCCTGCCCCGGCCCCACGGAGCTACACCGCTCCTGGAATGCCTCAGAAAAGCCCGGGGGTTGTTCTGAAGGGCGAATCTCACCCAAAAATGAGGGTTGGTTCGTGCAGAGAGCTTGGCTTGCAGCTTTCACCTGACAGTCACGTTTTACTGTCTATTAAAATGATTTTTTTTCTTATGTAATTTTCACTTCAGCCCAAGTTAATGCACTGTTTTTCAGACACCCTTGAATTTGCCTTTAAGAAGCTGACATTATATATGCTGGTGTGATGACGTTAAATATTTTAAGGAAATGACACATAAGGAAAAAGCAGCCAAATAATTTGAAAAACAATGATTTAGAGTGGAGATGCAATTTATAGCAGAGGTGCCAAGAGAATAAGGCTGATGAAAACGTGTCTACCTATTGACCCCAAACGGGTTCCTTTAACCCGTGTGCTATTGGCTGGTCCCCACATTTTCTGACTGTTAGAATTTCTCTCAATACTGTAAGCAAAAACATAACATAGATGAAAGAACAAGTAGCAGCATCCTTGCTATATGCCATAAACGCTGGAAATGGAACTGTAGATGGGCTCTTGGCAGGTATCAGGTCTAGTCTTTCACCATTCCATTTGGTGAAATGCTGAAACAGTAGAAGCTGGTATCTTCTTTTACAAGGAATTAGATCTGTTAGAAAACCTGGTGAATAGTTTCTGCCTCCCTTGTTAGCAAGTCTTTTATGTTTCCAACTAGCCACTCAGCAGTGTAACTCAATGCCTAGAAGTGCATTAGGATCATCTAGCTTGAAACTGATGACCCAAGCTGAAGGTGCAGGTTTAACCTCTTCTTTGTGATGGTTTTGGTTTGTTGTTTGGGGTTTTTTTCTTTCAGTTTCTCTCAGGTCAGCAGCATTGTTTCTAAGCAACATTGTTTCTAAGCAGCAGTCCTGCATGAAGCCATAGCCTCATTTCCCTGGCACACAAAGGAAGACAGAGGCATGAAAGGAACAACAACATCAAGAGGGAAATCCTCCTCATAAATACCTGAAGTCAGAGAGGCTCCAAACCCAGATCCTGAGGCCTATTGCAAAAGTTGACACAGGTAGTGCATGATTTCTTGTGTACATGTATGAGAAGTAGAATAGGGGGACAATATTCAGCAACAGAGAGTTTGTATATTATGGAGCAAAGGAGTGGAGCACGTGCTCCACGTGCATGTCACAATATATTGGTGGGCCAGGTGCTGGCTTATCTCTTTGCTGTTAGTTCATCTTGCAGCCTGTCCTCTTCCCTGTTTCTACCACATAGATCTGGTTAACAGACACACAGTGGGGAGAGCAAACCTTGTGCTAAGAAACCTGTAAGCGGCAGCAGGTCAATAGCTTGCATTATATGAGAGATATACATCACTACGTTGGGGATGCAGGCAGCTTGCAAGCTGATGCTCAAGATTGATGCTTATTCCAAATGGGTTCATTCTGCCCATTTCCCATTACCAAACTCTTTACCATCACTCTCAGTACTGTTCATGTTGTCTTCTTTCTTGACTAAATTTTTGTCAGTTTCTATTTTAATCCTACCTTGGAAATTCTTTTGGCTAGATTTTTGTAGGGGGTCTCTTTATCTGTTTTTGAGATTTGTTCACTGGTAGAGACACTTGGTTCTCTCCTAGATCCCACTGAGCTTATGCTACAATGACAACTAGAATATGGAAAGAAAACACCTGAAGAAAAAGATTGAAAATCTTCTGTAAGTAATAACTGCCCACAACTGCTTTCACTGCACTAGAGATTGGCTTGTTTTCATTGCAAAGAGTTGTATGACTAGGTGGATGACAACTCTCAAACCTCAGTCTTTCCTTGCAGTGCATCCAGGGCAGCTGCTGTCTGTAAGGGGTCTCCTAGTTCATGCCGCAGTGTCTCATGCTCTTCAATGCAGGATTGCCCAGCAGACAACTCCTCAGGGATGTAAGCAGTGTCCCCTCTATTCCACACAAGTCCTGTGCCCATCTTCTCTAGGAATGCTGGCATTGGATCTGTAGTATTTCATCTGAGGAAAGATTGCAGAATCAGGCCTCCTTTGAATGAGAAGAACAAGCACCAGTGAAGCATCTCTTTCATTCTCTGTACAGTGAAATTCTTCTGTGAGTCCCCAGACTTTAAATAATGGTTTCATATTTCTTCTTCCTATTTTGGAGCCTTTGGAGAAGACAGCAGTGTGGTTTGAAGGAAGCTAAGATCAGCAGAGATGCAAAAAACTAACAGCTTTCCTACTTGGGAACTATCTGTGAGAAATCCTGCAGCAGATTCCTAGCCCTAAATCATAGTGAATTTAGCCTTGGTCTTGCAGTATCTTTAAAGTCCTCTATTACATTTCCTATGCACTGGTTTGCTTAGAACCAGCTGTAATTTAGAGTTATTTCCTTGCTTTAAGGGGAGATTATGTTGGCATCAGACTACGAGAAAAAGAATTTGATCCAAGAGGACAAAGGCCACCCACCTTTCTAGATGACATGGTAATCACCAGAATTCCTACTTCCTATCCTCTTTAACTGCGGGGCTCCTGAGAATTCTGAAGGATGGCTATTTGGTACAGCTAAATAACCTATCCCTACAATGATAAATAGCAGCCCATTACTGAAATGAGTACCTAAACTGGCTGTGAATAGCACCTGGGTATAATGTATCCAAGACAATTCAAGATTTTGTTGATTTTTTTACCAAGAAAAAGCTATTCACAGAAGACATTTGATAAAGTTAAGTCAACTAACCAAAGATTATTCTTCACAAGCCAAGTCTGTTGGTGCATAACAAAACAGAAAGTCTTCCTGGATGCATTTTAAACCTCTGAAACCTCATCAAGTGTCTTACAACAAGTGAGGTACCCAGTTAGTTGAGGCAATATTGGGCACAGCTCAGGTTTCCCTGCATTACCCTGGTCTTTCTGTCTTCCCTCAGTCAAGCAATTCCAGTCAAACAAAACAAATAAGATTCTTCTGTCTTTCCAGGTACATTACAACTTAGCCCTCAGTGTTGCTTTACTGTGGCTTAGTGACTTGGATGCTCCGATTGCACTGACAAGAGAGAAAATGTGAGTATTGAAAAGCTGAGGTCCTGCTGTTGCGGTGGGTTACACCAGTGTGAAAATGAGGTAAAAGCAGCAGTGAATCGACCCCAGGACTACTTTTTGCATTTATAACACCAGAATAATAATCTTCTTGTTCAAAACACCATACAGGAGCTTTGCAGCTCGCAACAAATACACATATCCCAACCGAACTGAGAGAGAAGCTATGATATTATCTTCATACGCTGGAATATTAATGGTAAGAGCACAAAAAAGATGGCAGTATCTTTTATTCTATGGCATATAGAATAGAATAGAATAGAATAGAATAGAATAGAATAGAATAGAATAGAATAGAATAGAATAGAATAGAATAGAATAGAATAGAATAGAAAACTCCTTGTACCCCAGATGCCTTTGTTCATCAAAAGCACAGTATGCAGACAGTGCAAATATTACAATTCCATTCCATTTGTATCAAGTAGCCACTAAGTTTTGTGCAGTCTTAGAAAACAAAGCAGTCAGTTTCAGTAGGTGTGTATATGTTACTTAACTTGTTTCACCCAAGTGCAAAATGGCAAGCAAGTTTCAGGACCAGATCTCAATAGATTTGTACCAGCAGTATGAAACGATACCAGAAGTTCATGTGAAAGCTGTTTCAGAGATCAAAGGAAGGGGCTATAAGCTGGATTTAATTCATTTACTTGAAAGAATACTACTGCTGAAAGCTGAATCTCTCTTTTACCTGTTTTTTTACCTTTTACTGCTTGCAGAACAGCATTCCCGTAGAAGAGATCTTTGAGATTTACAGCATGAGGCCCTCAGCGACACACTCGCAGAGGTCTGCAAATGTGAGTGATTTGGGTTTTTTTCAGCATCTGTAAAGGAAGTGATCCTATAATATCTGTGCCTTTCAAAAAAAAAGCTACATTTTAAACTGAAGTCATTTGCCCCTTTTGCCCCATTAGTAACAGCAAACAAGCTCCAGCCCTCTCTTAGGACAGAGCAAAAAGCTGAATTATTCACCACTTCCTTCTCTATCTTACAGTGTGCCAGGGAGAGGCAAGAAAAGGGCAGCCCCGTTACTCACATCCACACTAAGATGTAACACAGCTCCTGCACCTTTGTGATATTGCTTTACAGAGGAGCATTCCCGCCAGCGTGCTCTTATTACCACTAGTGTGGATTAGGGGAAGAGGCTATGCAATTCTGAGATACAGCCTGGCATGTGTTCAGAGCAACTTTCTCTAGCAATGTATCTTTAGTCATATAATTGCCCTTTAAAAAACAGGAAAGGTATTATAATCTTTAATTTATGACTCAAGTCACAGGAAAGTATTCCGTATGACCCAGGTCCATAATGAAAAAGCATTTGTACTGGAATATATAGATTTTCTTTTCAGTAACACAGACTTTATTGATGTTTCCCAAGCAACCATTAAAAGTTGATGTGGACTTGCAGTCAGACTATAACAGATGATTCACATGTAATTCACAGTGCACTTTATTTTTTTTTTTTACCTCAGTCATGCTTAGCTGTAATATTAATGACAGACTGCCACCCGGTGTCCAGAAAGGGCAGAGCTACACCAGCTCACAGTTACATGCAACAGAACAGCCTTGACCGTAACCTCTCTTAGTTTAGTTCTTCCGTGTCAAGCACTAGATATGTCACTAGATGCCATGTAAGGGCATTTCACAATATGTTATTTAGAAGGAGGGATCTTATTCTCTGCTCCTGGGACAAGTGGGTGGATCAGCTGTCACTCCTTTTGCTGTGAATATTACAATGTATATTTTCACTGTCTTGCTTCTTATGGACAGGAATACTTTTCTCTAGGAACTTCCAACCCAGGATATTTTTAGAAATCTCTATTTTGAGAGCTCACCATACACTGTAGAGGAGTGATATTTTCTTGAAAGGTTTCCAGCTACTCATGCTGTTTCCCATGGTGGGGTGTTTGAGTTTTTGCTTGAGTTTTGGTGGTTTTTTTCTTTGGGAGGAGGGGAGGTTATTAGTGGTATTTTTAGCTTTGATTTGTATTCTGATGTTATGCAAGCAGAGACAAAGACATCTCATGTTACTGTGCACTTGCCTAGATCCTGTCCCTCATGGACTCAGAGACACTTCCTTAATGGTCACAAGGTAGCAAAGTTAAAAAATTTTCTAAAGAGGAAGATAAGCCATTGTTATCAGGATTTCCAGTTTCTGTTTCAGCCAACACCACTGCTTCATTTTATTCATGGGCTTAAGATCATTCCCAACCTATGAGAAAGGAACAAAAATGCTTTGCTGAGCTGGGAAGATAAGGATACTTTATTTTACAAAGCCTTGATTCATTTAAGAGGTTAAACCTACTGTTTTAAACTAACAGTAACTCTTGGAGCTCAACTTATGCTTCCTTAAGAGTCCTGAACTCAAAGAGATGGAATACAGCCCATCTGAAAATTCAGTTTCTGTGGGTATTTCCCACTGAAGTAAAATGGTGGAGATTCCTGTTACCCCTCATCACTTTTGAAGCTTTGGCTTGAATCTCCTTGGAAATCAAGCACTAGCCTTACCAAGATATATAGGTACTTAGGGAGCCTAAGCCACATCCTAGTGACATTTAGGATGGAGGTTATAAATGGTGCTCATTTATCCATCAGGACTGCTGAAGCAGTTACCTTAGTTTCTGCTGACCAGAAGAGTATGTCCATTGTCTTAGCACATAGTTTCTGCAGGTACACTTATTTATGAATTGTTGTCTTTTCAGGACCATTGGATTCAACCTTTCAGGTTCTCCCTGCATCCATCTGCCATGCTGACTGCCCCTGAAGCTGCAGAGTATGCCTGGAAGCAAAGTGAGTACATTTCACCTCAACTCCTACAAGGCCAGGGCAGGGGAACACAGAGCAGCACCAGGCCCAGCAGAGCCACCAAGTTACAGCCTGCTGAGCTCCAACAGCTGCACATGGAAAGGACAGTGAAAACCTCGGTCTGTGCGTCTTCTGTTGTTGGGCATGGGGGGAGGTACAGGTGTTTTCTCATTGTAGCCTAGAAATGGCATCTAGCTCAGGCTCCTGAGGTTCATGACAATTGCAAAAGGTGCATTTTGCTTAGGTTAAGGTAAAAAATATGATTACATGTTTCTAGTAGAATCAGCCTTCATGTCTGTCCATCACTTGTTTGTTCTTAAGCTTGGACTAATACTAGAACTTTTGCAAAGGTCAGTTATGCTACTGGCCAGCAAGAGCCTCCTACAACTTGCCTGTTTCTTCTCCAAGTGCAGCACAAATGAGAATAACTGCAGGAGCATTAGAGAATTTGAAGCTGGAACCCCTTACCTCCAATCATGAGATGACTGCAAGTGAGCCCATGCAGTAGGTCTGTAAACCAGCCTGGTGGCATTCTGTAAGCCCAAGATGATACGAGGCTCTTTCTCTCTCCCAAGGCATCAAGTACCAGACAGCAACAGCACATCAAAAGCAAGGACCTTGTTCAGCAAGGAGAGCTAAAAAGGACCACAAGCAACTAGACCCACTGACCAGAGGAAAGCAACACATTCACAAAGTAGGTCTGAAGAATTCACACAAGCCAGTAAAATTGTGTTTGCAACACTATCACTGGATGTCACAGAGTGGCACTTCAGGCCACTTGTAGCCCACAAAGCCCACAAAAGAGTCTGCCCTTTTCAGTTCTCTTTAGCATGAGATGTTTCATAGCAGCACTAGTCTATAAAATAATGTCAATTCTAAATTGGACTGCAAGCTATTAACAGGAGGTGTCACTTGTGAGCTGGAAAGTCAACTCCAGTAATATTCAATATATACATGGAAAGCACTCTCCTGGCTAATATCCCTGAAAAACATATTCACATTTAGGTTTAAAAAAACCAAACCTATTGCTATAAAAATTAACAAAAACCTAACTCCATAAAGAACTCAGTAATGTCAGATTAGCCCAGCATGTTCATGACTTAGGTTCTGCCTTTCTATCTGACCTTGATTTGCTAAAGCCTGTTGTTTGCCGCAGCTCCACTGAGCAGCAGAGCTAAGAAAACATTCCAGCAGCAGGGCTGGATTTGATGAACTAGAGTAAGGGTGCTCCCCCACAGCCCTGAGTTCAACATGCATCACATGTCACACAGCAGGAGGGAAGCTGATCTGCCATGCAGTCCCCATCTCTCCCAATGGATTCAGCCCTGCCTGCTGTGCTTGCGCTTATTAACATTTGCATCCTGCAGGGAGCTACAGAAGCAAAACAAGGAATCTCTCCAAGGAAGCCTGGAACAGATTCAAAAGTGAGGAATACAAAGGAAGCAAAGACATAACAAAAAACCTAGACTTCACCTACCTCACTTAGTTGTAGGTGAGCTAACTGATGTCTTCTATCTTAGCTTTGGTAATACATTTGCAACTTTTGTTTTGGTTGATTGGTTTGTTTGTTTGTTTTTAAATCTTAGCAGTCATTCCTTCCTTCCTTCCCACCCATCATATCTTACATCCAAGACATTCACTCCTTTTCCCTTAGCCAATTCTCTCCTGCTCCCCTGCCAGTGTGTTGGGAGCTTACATTTTCCCAGTGCATCCCTACTGATTCTCAAAGCACCATGCTACTTTTACAGAGGCAAAGAGAGGATGCAGCACTTCAGGGCCAGGGAATACATACTTCCCCTTTTCCACAGTGCTTTGCGACTCCCACACATGATCCAGTGTTGGGCAGGAATGAGCGTCCCTGCACGTGACGTGTGGGTTGTGCCTCTCAGGATGATCACAATTTCTTCAGCTCTCCCCTCTAACCATCCTGCTTTCTTATTTCAGCAAAGGGATCAGCTAAAGAAAAAGCCTCTCCCTGCAGTGCCAGTGTGGCACTGAAGTCTGTCTTCCAATCCCCATTTGTAGGTCTCTGATGATTTGCCTCTGTTATGTCCATGCTGTGTTGCCGAAGAACACTCCTCATTTCCTAGATGGGCTGTCAACTTTCATCCTTGTACTGACTCTACCTTGGAATATAAGCTGGATGTGGTTCTCCTTCCACATCCCTCTCTTCCTCTGTCACGAAGCTTGAGCACACAATATGGAGTGTTTGTATTAGACTCCTTCTACCTAATTCCATAGAAATTTCAGGGCTCAGTGGGATTGAAGTATTTGCTGCTGAGAGGTGTGTTTAACATTAATTGCAGGGTAGAGAGACTTCATTAGGGCTCTTTACATATAAAAATGAAGATTCCCAGATACTTGTAGCCAGGGGATAGACAGTTATCCAAAGTAGGGTCACATATTGTACAGCTGCATTAACCCATCTCTTGGAGATGGTCCTGTACTCTAACACAAAGTATCTGCTAAAGGAAAAACCAATAAACATTTGTGAAGCAAAAACATTTTTCTCCTTTTCTCCTTTCTGCTGGCTCTGAGTCACTGAGCCTATTTATGGAGATGCCAAAAGACAGCACTACACAAGAAAGCCTGGGAATGGTTAAACTTAATCAGGGATTAAAGGGTCTTTTAGATGTCCTCATGGACTCAAAGCTTGCTTTCAGCTTACCGGGTTCACAGTGTTTTGTTTTTTTAATATATCACAAATTTCCTGTTAAAATCACCTGTCCTTTCAATTCTGGTTTGTCTCTGGGGAAAGCCCTGACTACAGGGCTACATTTAGAAATTACAGATTAACCAGTGACTCTTTGTGTTGATATAGATGGGGCTTCTTAGCCGTACCATGCATCCCCATACTTTCCTTTCAAGCCATGTAAGCCCCAATTCTAGGCCTTAAGGAGTCAGGTGAGAGGGCCAGGGGGGACCTGAGGTAAACAGAAACATCACCTTCTATATTACACAGGAACTCTTTAAGAATTTCTGCAGCATCAGCTGTTTTGGCCTGGTTAGTTCACTCTGCAGGAAGGGAGACTGCTGGAACACACTATCCAATCCTATTTAGTAGTTCCTACCTCTCCTCTATTGTCTGTGTTCACTGCTGAGATAGGTCTATCCTGTCATATTCAGCACTTGCTTTTTCCTGGAGCTCAGAGCATCCATCAGCTTCTGAGCAGAGGCTTCTGTTCTTGCAAACAAATTCCATAGAACAGTAGGCCAGTGACAGGACCTGAGCAAATTTCCTCCCAATTCAAACAGCACCAGTCTGACCCCTGGAAAGCCAAAACAGAGAGAAATTGTCCTTTGAAATGAGGTCACTACAAGAGGGGAGGAGGGGATATTGCTGCTGAGCACATGAGAGAACAATGGTAAGGGGGTGGTTCAGATTAAACAGCTAGACAGAGAGATTAACATCTCATGACTGTTTTTTGTTCACTGACCTGTAATAAAATAAACAGTAAGACTTTAACAAATAGGTGATTAGCCTTGTTATTCCAGTGCTGTCTTTGCTATGGAGTACTGCCATGGCCTTCACTTTTCTTTGAATAATACTTCCTGGTTTTATAGGTGAGACTGGTGGAGTTAAGAGGAATAAGCAGCAGAAATCTTACTATGCTAATAAGCAGAAAAACAGTGTTTTATTTTCAGAGTGCAAGTCCCTGCCCCTTCGCTACTCCCTCTTCTGTTGGCTGGCTGGTATCTGATTGTCTGCACACAGAACTCAAGCCCAGAGGATCAGATGGTTTGCTGCTCACATGTTCAGACAGCCAGAATTAGGGAGCTGAAAGGTGCTTGTAGATGTGGGCACTGTGGGATTGATGAATGATAGCCTTCTGCCACCTTGACTGAAAATTCCTCCTTTCCTGAGCTATATTGTCTCCTGAATAATCAAGGTCTTGCTGCAACCGACCAATTAGTCAGGACAACTTCAAACTCTTTTCTCAGCTACGCAGAAAGCGATGGACATAGTTCAAAGCTCAGATGCAATGCAGAGTCATGAATTTGTTCTACAGGACCAGAAGAGACTTCTGATCATATGTGCACAGTTAGCACCAGTTGTCACATGCATATATTTAGTGCCTACCATTGCACTGCAATACTGTCCACAGTGAGAAAAGTAAGAGGCCATTCCTGGTCTGCTCTTTCGAAATACCTGAAATCACAGTACTGAGGCAAGTGGGGAACTCAACAGGGCATTATCCACTTTTCCTTTGGCAATTTAAGAGCTGCCTATTGTACCCCAGAGGTCAACTTCAGCAGCAGTACTCATGGTGGCAGCTTGGTGTTGCAATTCATAGCCCAGTTTATGACACCGAAATCAGATGGTTTCACTCTAACACTCTTGACTGTGAACAGCACAGCAACTGAGGCACAGACATACTGTCTGCCAGACCAGAGATGCTAACTTCTTCAACTGCTCCACACGAATTAGTGAGTCAGAGTCTTTAGACTCCAGACTTACTAGAGCACTGCCCATGCAAGCAAGCCCAAATTTCCCCCTCATTTCTGCTACAGTAATCCTGACTTCAGACACGTCACTACTGATTCTCTAGCTAGTCCTGAAAATTCTCACTCATTATGGTGAAGAGCTTTTTCCTAGCCAAAATGTCATGTGGAAACATCTAGCATCCACTACGGAATGGTAAAATATCTGTTTTTTCCAACAGATTGGTTTAGCTGTAGGACAAAAATATAACCAATCTCTTTTTAAAAGCATTAGTTTGTCAGGTTGGAAAGTCAAGTGCACAGGACTGTTTATCTTTAAGAGGTAGCAACAGCAAATAAAAGAGTGAAATCTACGAGAAAATCAGATATATTCCATCCCTGTAAAACACTGTAAAAGATGCTGGCCTCACGAGGGGAGTCATGGTTGAAAGATTTAAGAATGGTTAGAGGTGCTTAAAAAAGAAACTAGCTCAGACTGGCTCCAAAAGAGAGTTTGTTTGCAGCAAAGCAGAGTCAGAGGGAACACCAAGTGCCAAATCCTGCACTGTCACCAGGTCACCTGCTGTTGTGGAAGTGATCTGCCAGGTACTTGCACACAGGTATTTCCACTGCAGTGCTAAACACATAGTCCATTTAAGTGAAGAAAGTGTATGATGTGGTTCCCAAAGGCATCAAGGGCTAGATTTCATGGCCTTTCATGGGGATTTGCCAGCAGACAAATATCAAGCCCTGAACAGTGTACTTACAGTAGTACCAGCAATATATAAAGTCAAATACAACAGTCAACCAAACATCATGACAAGGAAATCCAGCAGAATGAAGGCATGTGGTCTGAGGTAACACAGAAAGTCTGGGAGAACAGGGTTGAATATACTAAACAGGACAGGAGGGTATCTAACCTGTTTGGAAATGGTGAGTGCACATTAGCTCCTGTCATTTAATATGGATACAGTTAAAAACAATATCAGTTAAGTGGTTTGTGATGGAAGGCTGTGAAGGTGGAGGTTTGATATCCCCCCCATCCATTTCCCCAGAATACACCCTTCTCTTTCTCTTTCCTTTCTTGCTCAGCACTGAAAGCCCATTTCTTTGGCCTGAAATCGTGTAAATGGAGCTGCACTCCACTAAGTCTCCCAAACTTTACCCTGCCCTCCCTCCTTGCAGCCACAAACACTCATTTGTTCCACTGGAGGTGGAGACCATGTAGTTGAAAACAGAGCTCTTTAAATAAATTTGATCTACAAAGGTGTTTAGCTGCATGCCAAGTTCCTGATGAATTATGTTGACAAGTTCTTCATATGCTTGAGTGAGTTCCCCCAAATACATAAGATTGTAAATCTGGTTTTGGAGTGCAGTAGTTTTGATCTGAAGCCTCACCTACTGCTGATATAAGACATTTGTATAACCAGCTTTGCATATTACATGAAGCAGTTTGTTTTTTAAGAGTCTAAGATTTAGGTGCAAGAAAATGATAATCAGAAGAGAACAAGTTAAGGTTTGTTCCAGCCCTCACCAAACAAGAAGAAAACAGATGAAAAGTTCCAAAACAGAGAAATACAGTTTTCTGTAACTTACTAGCTGTCCTTTAGTATTAAAGCACTCTGCTTCAGCCTTAAACAACAATTCTTCTGAGTTCCAGATAGAGGGCAACTTGAGTTTAACGCCATTTCCTCCCTTTGAATTTTTAGACAGGCTTTCGAAGAGAAAAAACTGAACCAACTGACCCAAACTGATTTACAATGTTAGCCAGTAATTCAGATAAGTGACAAACATCTAGTAAGAACCATTTTATTTCAATATTTATAGTCTTCAGGATTAATGCAGCAGTTAATCACACACCAGGAAAAGGATGAAAGTTTTAATTGCTATTTCCTCCTAACATGCCTATGTTAAATCTGTACACAGTACAAGGGATTAGTAGGCAAAAGGTAACAACACCACATGAGAATGAAACTTTTCCTGTCTCCAGGATAAGGCATGTGACAAAGTATTGAAACTGAAGCAAAATTCACCTGCTCTCAAAAAAGCAAAGATTGGGACAAACTTAGGCAAGAGGTAACCAACAGAGGGTGGAGAAGGATAGGAACAGACCCACACCAGAAACTGCTCAGGTCTGGTGAGTCCAATAGCTTTCAGGCAAAGGAGGTTCTGTAAAGAACCATTCTTACACACTTATATATATGCTTGTACCTATCCCACATTGGGTCAGGTGCACCACATGCAACAGCTGATAGCAGTTGAAAGTGTAGTCTACCCCATAGTTACACGATAATTCACTTGCACACAGCATCAGCAAATGCAGCCCAAACCCCAGAAAAAATAAGTCTCCCATAGTCAATGTAATAAATGCCATAACTACAAAAAAGACAAAACATGAGATCTCTCCAAGGTTAGAATAGTCTCCTCTGTGTTACTCTTTGCAGATACTGCATTAGGACTATGGCGTACAAAAGCAACCACAATGTCTGTGTCTGCACACAGCTCTCAACTTTCATCTCAGCAAACCATCAGAAATGGGAGAGATAAGTGGAAACCCCAGTATGTCAGTACCCTGCTCTGACACAGACACCAGGATGTCTTTGCAAATGTTTATATTGCAGATCATTTTCTTTATGAAGAGAAGAGCTTCTGGGGCCACTGCTATGAATGTAGTAGTGACCACCTTGACCTGCAGCCCTCTGTGA